TCATGTGCTGCACGTCAGCACAAATAGATATATAAATCGTACAATTTTTGCGGAAAAGAACCAGACTTGTGCGATTATCCGACCTGTCCGCTTCCGAAATCACCGATCCGATCCGAACAACGTGAGAATCTTCTCGCACTGAATATCGAGCGTTCTCAGTATTCATGTTCTATCCTTTCACGAAAAATTGGAATGTTCTCGGGTTTTTTTTCTAGAGTATCGGACGCTCGTACCGAATACCGAGCGTTCTCAGTATTCTCATTTCCTTCTCGTCCGAAAAGTCAGAGTGTTCTCGGGCTTCTCCTGCAGGATATCGGGCGCTCGCAGTATCCTCATCTCCTCTCCCGTGAAGAGTCGGAGTGTTCTCGGACTTTTCCTTCGACATACGCGACATACACGTATCGCGAAAGCGTCTGCAGTTGCTTAGCAACCCGTGCGTCCAATAACTTGGCAACATGCGGGCCCGATTGCCTAGCAACACATTGCGTACCCGATCCATGCGCTATCCCGCGAAATACCGCATTCACTTGATCGCGCCGCGAAAATCTCAAATACACAACGAATACAACGAATATTAGGCAAAACCTACTCGAACGACGTTGCGAGAGACACTTTGTATTCACTAAACTATCAACTTTTAAATTAGAATAAATCTAATTATTTTATTGTAAATTCAACTCAGGCATCTGCAATTTCTTTTCCGAACCCGGCATCCGACGAGCATTTCCGAGCTTCCGAACTACGTCCCTGCATCCGTACCGAACATTATTCGACTGCGCAGGGACGTACCGTTACATGGCGAACAAGGACCGTTTTAAAAAGAATCGCAGATGCCAGCTTGGGTACAAAACCTCTCAAGACGCTCTTCGCTTTCAACATACGCGAATACACATCCGAACATCATGTCGAACATAAAAGCCAGAACATCCACAGACCCCGAATCGGAGCAACCCGTAGCTCCAGCCCTCTTACCCGCCGTATCATCCTCCAAATCTAACCATGCCAAGACCATGAACTAAATCCGAAAATGGGGATGCCACTTTGACAGTCGCGACCCTTTATCTTTTTTGGAAAGGCTCACCGAATTACAAAGACAATATCGGTATTCCAACGAAATCATGTTGAAAGGGCTGTCCGAATTGCTTAAAGGCAATGCCCTGTCGTGGTATCGAAATAACGAAAACGAATGATCAGGTTGGGAAGACTTCTTAATTTCCGCTGTCATTTTCTACCGCGCCGTTATCAGGTAAAATTAGCGCAAGAAATTCGCGATCGAAGGCAACGGCCCCAGCAACGTTCTTGCAATATGTAACTCATATGCTCACATTAATGCGCGGGTAATTATTCAACGCCGAAAAAAGTAGATCGACTCTATGAAAACAAAGCCGAATATAAAATGTTCATTCGGATTAACGAAAAAACATGATCTTACCGATTAAGCAGCCAAATACAACGATCCAGAAAGTAGAAGTCTCGCGAAATAGAAGACAAAGAAGTGCACGAATGCCGCTGTGTGAATGCCGCCGCCCTTTCGCAATCAGCTCCATATGACCGCGAGAATACGTGTTGGAGATGCAAACAGCGAGGTCGATCGTTTTTTATGCAAACGATCCCCTCGAAAATTCTGTTCACAATGCGGTATAGACGGGATGCTCACCAAAGACTGCCATCCTCGTCCGCGAAATATTCCAACAGCTGGGGTCGCCAACTCCCCCCGGCCGGAAAATTCGCCAGCGTAAAATACATACCGCACTCGCACATCACCGTCAAAATTGGCGCGTGCGAATTCACCGCCCTTCTGGATACGAGAGCCAAGATC